GTGTTTGAGGGAGGCGAAGGCAGGAGGGCTGCGAAACAACATAGTTAAAAGTAGGAACTTAAAGGAGTGGAGTGAAAAAGTAGGATTGTTCGGAAAAGAAGAAGGGATTATAAGAATCGAAGAGGAGTCGCTCCATCTGTTCTAAGGGACGGAAAGGGGGATAAATATCACCGACAGCTGCTCACTCTTACTAAAGAATATACATACTTGTAAAGTGCACTCCTGTGGGCATGGCTGATATTGCTGGAACGCAAGAAATTGATATTGAAGGTATTTTTCTTTAAGGATAAATGTAACAAGACGTCAGCATTAAAGATTCACGGCGAGGAGAGTAATGGCAAAAGCTACAACGAGCAAATAGGGCATGCTTCAGCCGCGTGGCAGAATTTCTCATTTTATTACGTTTTTAAAATTGCAAAAGCTGGTGGAGATTACCGCTATGATCATAACAAGGCGGACACTAATAATCAGGTGACCGTGCAGGCAATAAATCTCGAGCAATGAATATCCGCGCCCTACAGGTGGCTTGATTGGTAGCTCTACATAAAATTGAATACAAGATCAATGCGGAGGTAAGGAGCATGTCATTTATTTTCAAGTGTGGTACACCCGCAGTGATGGGAAACTTCCGTCAAAAAGCACACGCGGTTGTGGATTGGCAACAACACGATCTAATTGAGCTGGTAAGGGTGAATTGGATTCTAATCTTGACACATCATCAGAAAAGCTAATTGGGAGGCTTGTCCGGTAAAATATATACCATAACAACTTCCTTTTTGTGCCCTTGATTCAAAAGAGTACCCGTCTCAAAATCGAGGACAAAAGACCTTTTACAAAGAAAGCAGAAGGCGGGTCTATCGCCAAGAAAACGAAAAACCGTTTCTCGGGGCGGGCGAAGGCGAACGTTGGGGGGCTGAGGCGTGGTGCTGGCAAAAAAGGCGGTGGTACACATGCATACTGATCCGTCGACGTGAGAAATGATTGATTGAGATGCTTTCTATGCCTTTCCTTGCAATGTGATGATGCAATTGCCAGGCGTTGGGTCCTCATCCACAGCCACTTTGACGGTTGGAAGAGCTCTTTCGACGGTAGGATTCCATAGATTAAAAAGTTCTCGCGCTTACAATCCTCAACAGTGCAATCTTCTATCACCTGCTTTATTATTTCAGGCTAAAGTAATCATTTTCATGAGTAACAAAATGCTTATCAACTTGCCTGTGCGAGACCCGTCCAGCTTCTCGCGGATGCATATCAGAGGGAAGCCTGCGGTACGTCTACGAAAGCTTTGCCGGTTTGAAGTACCCAGAATTGAACAAGATATTGAGCAGTACACGGATGTGATGTGGTTATAATGATAGTGAAGGAGCGCGCGTGCAAAAAAGATAGGGGTGGTTCGCCATGCTTTCAAACTAATGGGTGTCATGGGTGTTCCATGACTGTGTTTTTTTTGCGACAACGGCATCACGCGCTCAGCCATATCAACCCCGGCACTCTATTGTCGTTTGTGGAATAACATTCAGGTACAAGTCCCGCGTGAGCTTATTCCCACCAACGACACCAATGCCATGCAGGTACGCGAGACAAAACTATCCCTTGTGCTTAAAATTTGCCATAAGCGCAGTTCTTAATCTGGTAGATTTGTGTTACTGTCTTGCGACGCTATAATGCAAAGATGAGTTTCTTGATCTTGATACACGACGCTTAATGTGTTGAATTTGGACAACATTACCCTTTACGTAATATATGTTCATCGTCATAGCATAGCAAAAGAAATGGCATGCGATGCGTGAAAGTTGAAAAAATTATTGGATCAAGATTCATTTCAAGTATTTCCGGCAACCCTCTTGCAATCATGCCACACTATAGCCCACCCCTAATAGAGCAGGCGAGCCCTGGATGTTAGGCCTGGGTTCTCCCGCTGCCAGCATCTCTCCAATTCCTGCCTCAATTATCTCGCCCGGCTATCCACAAGCCTCTTCCTCCAAAGCACTTGCATCGAGTGGTTCGTCATTAGCGAAGAACTCCAGGATAAGCGCGGACGCTGATATTTCAATAGGAACAAAAGATGGAGGAACTGATTTGACACCACCCGTAGCATCCATGACAAATGGACAAATGGTGGAATGCGGCGATTTTTTAAATCAATCGAACTTGTCGTCAAATAAACGACATGCGCCTGACAATTCAATAGAAGCATGCGATGGTACTGAGGTTGAAGGATCACCAAAAGCGAAAAAGGTGATTCGCTTGAGTTAGGACAATTTAAGAGGATAAAAAGAAAGGGCGAATAAAACAGTACAATGCGTTATATGACCTTGCTCGTCTCAAATGGCGACCACCAGAAGAAATCCTGTTCGATCATTTGCTTCTCAATTACGTCAAGTAGGCGTTGTTAATTGCGATTTACAGGCTTGAGTCCGGATAAATTAGCGAAAAACGCCGCTGCTCCTCACCGGTCGTGTGTTCCTTCAAATGATATCCAATTGACTACTATTGTGGGAAAATTCTCTGAGTATTTAAAATGATTTATGTGTCATAGCATGAATCGATCTGTGCATCTGCAAGATGCTTAATCTCACCTGAGCTAATAACATAAATACTACAAATTTCTACAGGTTTAAAACTACAACGTGAAAAATTAAAAACTATGTGCAACGCATCAGTCTGCATCTTACCAGAAAAGAATCGCACCGCAAATGCTTCTACGCCACTGAATCCTGCTACTGGTCATGCGAATGTGGCTCCGCCTCGGTCTGTCCTTCCTCACATGGTATATTATTCACTTCGAGACACCGCAGCACAGGCAACTGTTATGCGGTGGTCATCATAAAGATGAAGCGTCTGGCCCTGACGGTGTAGGGAAAAATATCAATCCAATGATTGAGCGGCACGCTTCCACGGCCTCCACCGTATTGCCCTTCTTTTCGTCATCCTCGTCCCTGGGCACCTTGTCCTCCTCCTCCTCCTCCTCCTCCTTGTCCTCCTCCTCCTCCTCCACGCACTCAGCGTCGTCCTGTTTTTCTCGCTTTGTCCGGCCAGGGCGGTACAACGATAAGCATCCCGTCATCAGTGTGGTTGCGGCTTTGCTCGAAATCACCAGCTCTGGCCCCCCTAAAAGCATCGCCGCGACACCCTGCTCACCTTTGCCTACCAAAGTCGTATCTTTCCTTGACATTGTCTCCCCGACCATCGAGGCGTACGACTCCAAGACTCGAAAATATGCTCCCAAGCAAGCTGGCCTGTCCGGAGTGAACTGTCCCTCTGCATCCAGTCCTCCACTGGATCGCTCCGGCCCTTCTGCGCGCTCACTCCGACGGGTGCAAGAGCGCCTTCGAAGCCTTCCAGAGATAGGCTTACAGGTAAGTCGGTCTGTGCTTCGAGGGGTGGTCATGATAGCAGGAGCACCCGTTTTGGCTCCTGTTGGAATGGCTTTGGTGGCGTGTCATGTGACCCGAGACCTGCTAAGAGGGATCGGGTGTTTGGCGTGGTGTTATCTAGAGGCACGCAATCGGAGAGATAAAGGGGGTGGGGAGTGCTCCAGGAATAGAGGAAGCAGTGCAACGAGATGGATGCTATCAGGCGATGTTTATGTGCATCTTGGTTTGTGCTTGCGCCGGTCATTTCTTCGATGAGTGGCTAGCGAAGGCACAGTTACCTTACATATAAAGTCCATTTGAAGGTATCCGTCCCCGTGCACTGCCCTCGTCATTCTCGCACTTTCTGTCCCTCCCTGCGAACGCGTGCCTCTAGAAAGCACCAAGCCAAATCCCCGATCCTTCTTACCACTCCTCGGCTTACACGGCACCACATCAAAGCCATTCCAGCAGGAGCCAGAACGGGTGCTCCGGCTGTCATGATCACCCCTCGAAGTACAAATCGACACACCAGTAAGTCCATCTTCGAAAGGCTTCGAATGCGCTCTTGCACCCGTTGGGATCCGGGCTGAAGGGGGGCGAGAGCAGTTTATTTGAGGACGGAATGCAGAGGACAGTTGCTCCCACACAGCCCTGCTTGTCTGGGAGGAGGTTAACTAGTCTTGGTGTTGTACGCCTCGATGGTCGGGGAGACAATGTCAAGGAAAAATACGACGTTGGTAGGCAAAGGTGAGCACCTCCCGAGCTTTGCATTACTCTAGGGTCCGGTGTACCTAGAAAAAAGGAGGATGTAAGATGGATGTATCAAGACATATGTGTGTTTTTCTTCGTAGCTCAAGACGGAGGTGTGCTCGGAATAATACCTGAAGCAAGATATAGATGAGGGACAAGGAAATAGGTGAGAAACACATGACGCCGACCTTGAAATATTGCTACGAGCATGGTTCCTTTGTTCAAGCTCCAAGGACAATCTTCTATTGCGTTCTCATGTGATTCATTGGGGCAATCCTCTAAATTTTCACATTTCACAGCACACCAAAAGATCCCGGCAACTTGTATGTATTTTCCCGTAATTCTTCTTAGCTTTCCAGACATTTACCTTTCATGCTTCGTCGTCTTGATAAAGTTTCCACTTTAAATCTCTGGATAGGACATTTTTCATGCAACTTTTTCCTAAAACGCTACGTCATAAGTTACGAAAATATGAGGCTAATGAGCGAACGTTCAAGTCAAAGTATTATTACCAGGAAAGGCTAATTCCAACGTAAATTATTTTAAAGGACGTACCTTTGAGCGTGTGTGCTCAGGTCGAAAAAGAACGAGCTTCGGGGGGGTACTATCGTTATCCAAAAAATACCCTCCTACACCAACATGCACATGATATCCTTGGCAAGTTTTTTTCAAAATGCCACTCTCAACTCTCTTTGTGCTCCTTCCCGTCCACTCTTAATCCCTGTGCATCCGCCCATGCCGTGATAAATATGGCAAGGTAGTGCTGCCCATTGTAGTGGGAAAGAAGGCTTTTTAGCCAGTGCGTGCCCTCCTCCTCGTCTTAAGCGAGAACTGGCGATGCTTTATTATACCCCCTCGAAAGAAACCACGTCCCTGTACGAATTTGACAATGTGGAATGACGTGCGATGGTGGAAGAATATGTTTACAGTGAGACGGGGAAAGTTATGTCAGCGGAAATGAGGGCGAGTACAGTGAGTCCTAGCGCTCCAGGGGGCTGGGCGCCATGGACGAGGAATGCGCTTTACATGTAGGTAGAACACAAGCATGTGCCCATGCCACAAGCGCGCATGTGATGAACAACGACGCATGATCCGGCATCACCAAGTAAAGGAAACAAAGACATAAACGAAAAGACACATAGTCAGAGAGCCTGTTCAAGAAACGAGTCAGTTTTTGGTTTGCTTCTCCCAAGAAAGCATGGGCTCAAGAACGTGTATCCGTTTTTCGAATTCCATACCTCACAACATGTGCAACATATGAGAGGATGCACCTCTCACTGTACGGAACCCTCATATCTGTAAGGGCCAATTCTTACCGCCCCGTATTATCATCTTGCTTCTGTGCACGCGCAAGGGAGGCATGCCATGACGTCAAACGACCATTCCAGACGAAGACGCGGCCTCCTGGGCGCGAGCAGGTTGTACTACTTATCGTGTCCATTATGGCCTGTGGTCAAGGGGGGGAGGTTCGAGGGAGGGCATTGGAATTTACGCCTTGTTAGTGACCTCATGCTGTGAAAAACTTAGACTGTGATAACACAACCCGATAAGGGATGATTCGAAGAAGTACGGGCATGAATTAAAAAAGCGTGACCTTAACCAAGTTCGAAAAGTTGATCAATTCTCCATGTGTATATTACCTGCCATCTTCAGTCCACGCAAAAACAAGACCAAAAATTATCGAAAAGACATTCATTGAAGCATTAAACTCTTCGCCTGCACTCACATAAAGCTCACTTCCACGCATAATACCCGATTTGGTTTTTGATAGGTGACATGAGTATAGAGTGATGGAAAATGGTGGAGAGCTCGCAATATTCGTGCGTCAAAGGTGGCGACAGGAGGGGCAGGCTAGGTAAAAAGCCATGTCACCATCCTGATGGCACCCCAGAAGGGAATGTTTTGACTATTGAAGAAGATGCTGCGAACCGCTTCTTCGACGGAGACATGTACTCCGACATGCTCCATACGTGGTTGGTGGATGTGATGTAAATTTGGGTTGGCTGAGAGGGAAAGACCAACTTGCAAGAGTGAGGCTACCACCTTCAGCCGATCCCAGACCTCATGTACTTCATGAAAGCAGCGTCAAGCGCGCCCATTTCATCTAAATAATTCGCGAAGAGTTTCCTCAAGTTATGTCACGCATGTTTGTTGGTGATACCATCGTCTCATGGCATCCAGCGTCCAAGTAGCGGTCGATTTGAGAATGCTCGTACCCAATCACCAGCCAGGCACTTATTGGAGGAACGCTGACAATTTATGTCCACACTGAAATCAAATCGTCTTTAATGCCCACATCTCCCACATGTGGACATTGTCGTGTAGTGACGAGTGCAGATAGTAATGAAACCTACAGTACCAGACGAAATGATAAAATGGCCGCCTATTCCATGGCACACATGCAATTTGAATCAACATTTAAATTATTTGACCGAGAGGAACTCGGTTTGGGACTTGCGTTTTGACACATGCATTTGCCTCGTCCTACGTCTGATTTTCACGCCAATGAATCAAACTCGATGATTGTATCGTGAAAAGGTATATGAATGGGATGTGACATCTTAGGCGTGTATTCATGCATCATTAAAGGAGGAAAAATGCTGCCTGAAGTATTGAGAAGTGCTCGGCTGTTGGTTTTACTGTTGACAGAGCATTACGCTGCTCCTTAAAATCCGTCCACCATAAAATGCACTCAAACAAAAAACAGATCATCACAGCATATGATAAGCAAAGAGTCAGACATGGAGACACAGTGTGGTGTTCGCAGTGTCCTGTGGAAATGGCAAAGCATTTGTGAAGTTAAGGTTAGACAAAAAAGGAGGGAAAAGAAGACTGAAGTTGCGGTGACGTAACGTGTCCAAACCGGGCATGGAGGAGGTCCACTGAGATGCCCTGCATGGGCCCGCCTATTTTACTAACCGCCTATTGATTATAAGAGTCTGGCACGGGAATTATTTTGTGTTTGCCAAGATCCGCACAATATGATATTGCTTTTCTTTTATAGTTCTCGTCGAGGGCATTTGGCGTTCATTAGGCGCGCGATGAGACGTTACCATTATCGTGAATATCTCTATTTCGTTTTCCGCCGTTACACAAAATACACACGGCTTCTTTTCAAGAGTAAGTGCTGCCAACATGGACGCGCCAGGCGTTTTGACGCCTGACACGCGAATATGTTACGAGTTGTATCCCCCATTGCTTCCGGGTCAAGGAGGGCCTTGTCCATGTCTTAGGTGTGCTGGGCAGCCCTCTTGTCCAATTTTACAGCATCCGATCGAACCGGTCTGGGAGCGACGCAACCATCAGCATCTGTTTAAGCAGGAAAATCAAAAAGGCAAACAACAGCTTGAGCTTGAGCAACAACAACACCATCAATGGCAATGGCAGCAGCGGCAGCAGCAGCAGCAGCAGCAACAACACCACCTGATGGAACAGCAAGAGAAGAACCGTTATCTGCTAGAGCAACAAACATCACACCCACGCGAACATCAGCAGCAGCAGCCGTGGCAGCAGCAATATGCGCAACCACAACCACGACCGGAACGGCAGCAGCAGTCGCAACAGCGACCTCTTCCACAGGCTCCAGCACAACAAGCACCACAACTACAAGAGCAACAGTTTTATCAGCCAAACGGAATCGACCATTACAATCGATCACATCCATCCGTGTATCGGCCTCAAAAAAACCAACAGCCTCGACCCTTCCCCGGCGAGCATGAGCCCCATTTGGTCCTGCTAAATCCGCCCTGGGAATTTCATTGCGTGTGTGGGCGTAGGGTACCCCTGCCACCATACCCACATCCACAACGTCAACCAGAGTACGACTATAATTTAGTCAAAGTCGAGCAGCGCATGCCAGAAAACACGCTGCAGCGGCGTGACCCTCACATCATTCCTCAGCCACCAGCAGGTTGGCAACCGCCTTTGATGCCACCCGAGAACGGGCATGGTCATCGTCCTCCGCTCGAAGTAAAGAGGCATTCTTGTCCTCCATTCCCGCCATTCAAGATTCGGGAGCATGACCATGGCCCAAAAGCCTTAGATCCTATGCGTCCTCCCTTCGTACCGGATCGCCCTGTTTTGCCCAATCCAGAGCTTGAGGAGAAAGTGCCAGCGCTGGTCATTGCGGAGACCCCCAAAACACCGACTCTTACCTCCGGCGTCGTCACATTCGAACGAACGACAGAAAGAGGAATAGGCGAAATAGTAGAAGAGAAGGAAGAAGAAGAAGGCGTATACGACGAAGCATTCCTGATCCCTGCAAACCTTCTCAATAGCAGTATCCCGCAGTCAGAGGACAAAGGTACGGAGGAGGTGAATGGACTGAACAGGATCGCACAAGCTGGCCAAGGCAGTCGCAAGCAGGGATCCGTTGAACTGCCTGCACTACGACTCCCTTCGGTTAAAGAATGCAAAGGCTACAACCCTGCAGAGCTCGGACAATTCTTGGAGGTCCTATACCCTCAAGGCTCTCGCACTTGATTTTTAAAATTTAAATCACAATGAATGATAAGGAAAGAAGAGGTACCCGTCCAGAAGCGTACATAGACATGACGTTGACACGCCTTAATTACGGTGGAACGAATAGGAGCGGATAATGGAGAACAAGAGGGGAGATCACTTTCTGGAACAGGACGCTTTGAAATGGCCGGGGGATGGAGAGGAGTACCAAAGCTTTAAGGGTAAGCACCGGTTTTGTTACTCATTTTAAGGTAAGTGGGAACCGGGAACAAACGCTGTCCCTCACATGATATTCGTATGGAACAAGACGCGGCACCTAACATGTGGGTTCCAGGCTGTTTCTTTGCTTTTGAGAGGGTGATCAACCACAGATTTACATTTTAATGCGAGAAACGAAGGTGGCATCGGGTTCGTCCCTCTTTACATATCGGTCACAAACCTATAATTGCCTTTCGATGAAACGTGCGCATGAGCAACCCTTATGCTGTCTTCCAAATGAACATGGAATACGAGAAGCCTCGCTGCCAGAATGACCAATGCAATGGAAGAAGCCCCACTGTTCAAGGTCACGAGTAATTTATTGAGAGAAAGGTCTGCATATAGGACTTGCATATTGGGAGAGAATTCTGACAAAGATGAAAGAAAAACAACAAGAACTCCAGCGTTTGCCAAACTCTGTCAAATATGAGACGGAAATTCTCTTATCAGAACTGAGTTACTCTGGCTATCCAAAACATGCAAAATCTATCGGGCGTGCGAGGCAACAGATGCTGAACAGCTGTCTCCCGCAATTCTTTCGAAGAATTTCTCTTCAGGAGCCCCCTCTCCACCCAGACACCTAGCTGAAAAATCGTGCCTCGATGTCGTCCAATCGAAAGCGGCGGGCCACAGCCTCAAGCACTTTCATTTTTTCGTCGCGGCTCGCTCTGTTCAGAGAGGGAAGAAGGGTAGGGGAGAAAAATACAAGCCTTTAACTCTTACTTCGCACAAAGATTTGTTTCGTACATGTTTTTCCTTTACAAAGCGGAATTCAGAGGCTTGATAGCGAGAAAATTGAAAAAGGAAAGACGCACCTCCTCCCTAAATTCTTCGTTGATTCTCTTTCCAAACAGACATACACCACACGAGGAAGCCCCCAGTGGGGGGGCGGGAAGGGAGGGCAGAAGAGGGAAAATATCGAAGGACGGGCACGTACTTATCGCCGACCAGGTCGTAGAAATAGGAGAGGTTGAGCACCAGGTTCTCGGTCATGTTCCGGGGAGGGTCTTCCCGGATGAAGTTTTCCAATATGTGGATGGCCGCGTGCACGTTGCCACGATGCAAGGAGAGG